AAGACGGATTCCCCGAAGACGCCCCCAACTCCGAAGACGGATTCCCCTCCGAAGACGCCTAGCGAAGACGGATTCCCCGAAGACGCCCCCAACTCCGAAGACGGATTCCCCCCCGAAGACGCCTAGCGAAGACGGATTCCCCGAAGACGCCCCCAGCTCCGAAGACGGCCCGAAGATGACAGATTCCCTGAAGACATGTCCTGCGCGACCTCGCGCATACAGTGGATTCTATGTATCCACTTGGCAGATTGCTTCGCGCGCCCAAACACAGCAGCGCATCAGCTGTCCTGCCCTGCTCAACGCCAGTGAAGTAGCTGTGGTTTTTGTCCGCTTTGTGGGGTTGCACCAGGTTCCTTACAATCCAGAGAAGGAACAGTTGTCTTTTTTTGGGGGTGTGTTTTGCTTCTCGCTCTGCAGTTCCATCAAGTCGGCTTGCAAGCTTGCCTGCGTGTGAACAAGTTGGTATGAAGAATCACCTGGGAGCATTGGTGTGAAAGGCGGCGTGTATGCACATGGTTTCTTTATATGCACCACATTTTCTTTTCATGTTAATTGTTTGACGTTATGCAGTACATGGTGATTTGCATAACTCTTTTTTGTTCGCGCTTTCGGTCCAATGATGGTGCAGCGCAACCGTGTGCTGCTGCCGGCGGCGTTTGTGTGTTGGCCGCGGCCTCAGGAACGGAATGTTCATGATTTCGCCGGATTTGGTGGGGCTTGGGGTTTATAGGTTTTGAAATGAAAGTGTATGATGTTACACGGGTGTTTGGACTTGCGATGATCCCCTGCTTTTATTACTTTGGGCTTTCCACTGAAGAATGCAAATTCTCCGCGCCCCTCACACATGGAAACATTTTTTCACAAAAACAACGGTCAATTATGCAGCCAGTGCCTCGTTGTAACCGAGCACAAGGCAAATGTCACGCGCCCCTCGTTTGTGCCAGGTGTTGGTGCCACGTAAGCCATGCAAACGAAAAGTGCTGACACGAAATCTAAACATTGTTGATGCCCATAACTTACTTGGCCGGCGGTTGCCCAAAGTGGACTTATAACCTAGGTTATACATATACCTAACCTAGTTATAGCCAACGTTATAAGTCTGCTAACCTCTATAGAAGTTAGGTTTTACTTAGCTTGGACTTGGCTCAGCCTATGAGAGTTAGTAAGTAGTTAGGTTTGACTTAGCTAAGTCAAAGTTAAGTGGGCTAAGGCTTAGCTTGGACTTAGATTCGACTTAGCTCAGACTTAGAGGTCCAAGCTAAGTCAAAGCTAAGTCGAGGCTCAAAAATTGAAGCAAAATCAACCCAAAATGCGTCGAACGCAGCCGCCAACCGACAACCAGCCAGCATACGGCCGCGCCGTTATTCTTTGTTACATTCCGCGTCGTGGCCGCTTGTTGATTCTTCTACGGTATCCTATAGAGTACTTGGCGCAAATAGGATGCGTCAAGCAGTCACATGATATAAAGTTTTGACATTGTCTTCATCCTGAAGTCTTTGAACCATTCACCCCAAAGACTTAAACATTATCGCAATTCTATTTAGACAAGCTTAGAACTTGTCTTCAATATTTTTGACAAATGTCAGAAAATATTCTGACATATATCAAAAACGGACAAATGTCCGAAACATATTCCCACAATTGTCAGAAAAATCTGACACATGTCAGAAAATATTCAGACAATTGTCAGAAGATTCTGACAAAATCTGACAGTATATCCTTTTGAAAGTAAATGTAAACAACAATTTGTCAGAACAATATGACAATATTGCCTTTTGAAACTAAATCCAAGCTAAAATTTGTCAGAAAATTCTGACACATGTCAGAAAATATTTGCGTAAATAGTAAATATTTCTGACATTTGTCAGAAAAAATATTCTGGCCAATGTCAGAAAATTCTTACAGATGTCAGAAATAGTCTGACATTATTATATTGTTTAAAAAGTACATGTCAACAACAATTTGTCAGAAGACTTCTGACAATATATAAGTTTAGTTAAACTGTGATACACTAACTATGATAGTATTAACAGTGTAATTAACCAAAAGCTATTTTTTCAATGTATTAAAAATAGTTTCAAATAGGTGATGCCTGTTGATGCTGGCTGTTGATGCTCAGATGATGACTGTTGATGCTCGCGTGAGAGAAAAGTCTACCCGCGCACTCCCAGACCGAGCTTTCGGTTTTCAGTTTTCATTGTTATTTTTCAATAGTTGCCTTAGACTTAGCTTTGACTTAGCTCAAACTGATCAAACAAACTAACACTTAGCTTCGACCTCGCTCGGACTTCTAAGTCTTAGCTAAGTCCAGGCTAAGTCCAACCTAAGTCCAAGCTAAGTTACCCTGAGCTAAGTCCAAGCTAAGTACTTACTAAGTACTTATAAGTCCAAGTTAGACTTAGCTAAACTTAGCAAAGTCCCGCCGGCCAAGTATACCTTTGTCGCAGGTGTTTTATGCTGTGTGGGTCCTTGGCTTTATAATTTATAATTGAATCATTTGCGGCTTGGCAATTTGCGAACCAGACAAGCCCGGGGGAGGCTGGCTGTGCTCCCACTTGTGCTCCCTTGGTCCTTCATTGGTTCGCCAACATCTCCACGTGTCCGTGACCTTGGCCGCGATGGTCAAGGAGCGCCTGGAAAAGGTCTAAACGCCAAACGACCTGTCCATGTCTTTTGAAGGTCTTGAACCAAAGATTTGGTTTCATTTGTCCATCCATACGTTGGCATCTGTTCATCCTTCAAGTGGCTGTGCAGCTCAATTAGTTTGTTTTCTGAGGTGACAATATCCTCAATGGGTATTAAGTTTATCACTAGAAACTGGCCATTTCAGAGATTTTACTGGGCGCCAATTTGAACACCCTCAGCGTGAAGTCATGAAGCGGGTGCTGGTGCAGGAACCGAAAATGCCCCTCATCTCTTGCGCGCCCGAGAGATGCAGAGCGTGGCAACATACTGGGGAGGTAAGATGTAAAAGTGTAAAGGAGACAAAAGGAATACGAATGAGTACTGTGCCAATGAAACTAGAATATGAAGGCAGTTTTTTCTGGTCAACCCCCATTACTTTGAAAACATTTGAAAGCTAGTATTCTGAAACCCAACATGATGAAGAATGAAGATACACATGTGTAATCACGTAGATTCACAGTGATTGGCAATTGCATCATCAAGAATAGTCACAGTACTGTAAGCATGCTTTGTTTCGGGCGGTAAGGTGGCAACGATCCCTGGCGAAGAGCAAACAACCATTGCTTACCCCAGTTGATTCATAGAAATCTACCGATTTCCACTGGACCCGGAGATGTTGCAATGTTCTGCAGATCTGCTCTCGGCCATTTCAGTGCTAAGGAGTCGACGAAATCCCTTTTTGCCGATCACTGTAAAAGAGAAATTTGTTGAAGTTTGGTTCGAAGGGGGTAGAGGCTTACAACTTACAACTGTGTCCCTGCTCCTGACAGAAAAGCTAAAACCGAAACGCATTCATATGATCGTGGAATTCCTCGGAATTCATGGCTTCACGGTCCAAACGAAACATTTGACTGTGACTGTTCCGCCATAGCCATAGCCCAGACACATCCAGGCATGCTTTGTTGAGCTTGAAGCCACCACTTGCACAGACGCAGCCAGAGCAAGCTGCTTTATCTGTCCGAACTTGACGCAACGTGAAGCGGAGGTAAAATCATTTGGCCGTGGAACCAGAGCGGCCAGTCATGGTGCTCAAGTCAGACTAACAAGAACAAATCTTGGTTATGAACGGAAGCTAATCTTGGGAAGCAATGAAAATCAAATAAAATCTTAGCAAATTTTAACGACGTCACCGACGTCACCCTGAATTAACGACCTAGGTTTGAAATTAAGATCTTGCCACTTCATTTTAAGTAAGATCGTCCCACTAGCAAGCTAAGCCTCTTTTGGCAGCCTGTTGCTTCAACGGAAAACCCTCACACGCAAATCTAAAAGGTTGATGTTTGTTAGAGCATGCCCCTCTTCATTTAAGCAACCACCGTTTTCTCGCCGCGCGCGCAAGACACACAAACAAGCACATTGCTGGAAAGACCCGGGCGTTCCGCTTCCGAGGGCCCGTTTCTGACCACTGGGCCGCTCACGCGGGGGCTCGCGAAGGGCCGAATGCAAAGAAGAATTGGCGACGTTGGGTTTCAGAATGATTGCGTGGCTCGGGGCCTTCTGGACGCGTTTTCCCGGCTTACCGAGCCCCAGTAAGCAAGGAAACTGCGACGAACGGCTCACAAAGGCAGCGCCATCAAAAGACCCTATTTTGGCGAAATGGGGTTTTGCGACGACTGGTTGGCTCGGGGCCTCCTGGGCCCGTTTTCCCGGCTTACCGAGCCCCAGTAAGCAAGGAAATTGCTACGATACGAGCAGTTCAAAAAGGCAGCCCCCATCAAAAAAACACCATTTTGGCGAAATGGGGTTTTGCGACGGCTGGTTGGTTCGGGGCCTCCTGGACCCGTTTTCCCGGGCTTACCGAGCCCCAGTATAAGTAAGGAAACTGCGACGAGCAGCTGGAAAAGGTAGGCCTCCTGGACCTGTTTTCCCGGCTTACCGAGCCCCAGTATAGGAAACCGCGACGAGCAGCTTGAAAAGGCAGCCCCCGTCAAAAAACCTTCTTTTGGCGAAATAGGGTTCTGCGACGGTTGGTTGGTTCGAGGCCTCCTTGACGCCTATTCCCGGTTTACCGAGCCCCAGTTGAAAGCCCAAATACCGGATTTTGGAACCACCTCCAAAGCCAAACTCTTGTAACCCACACGACATGAGCGTAGGGTCAACACCCCCAAGCATTGGAGGGATCGAAAAGAGAATACGCAATGCTGTTCCCAGGCATCCAGTCCACTATCCCAGGACAGAAGATTCAAACAGCGGCCTCGCCATGCAGGTGCTCACCGCAACGGTCACCCCAACCAAGCCACGTCCACAACTGGGTGCGTGCGCTGGTTGGGGTGCTAGGTCTTCCCGAGGTCACTTAATTTCATATTTCCAACGACGTCACGTAATTTCGTTTCCGATTTAACGAAAATAACCGACGACCCACGAATTTTTTAATTTGCTCAGATAAAATCCAATAAACAGTTGATCCGAGTCACTGTAAACACGGTGAGAATGACGTCAGGAGAGGCCCGGGGTATTTCGAAGCTATAAAGCACAACACCAACAGATTTCGCGCCTGACGCTGCCGCCAACTTCTAACCCTGGAAACGGCCCCCGGTCGCAAGGGCCATTTCGATTCAAGGATATAATCACGCAACGTCAATGGGGAACGCGGCCTGACGCGGGGAATGTGGCGTCAATAGCCGGCGTCAGGGAGGTATGCGGCGTCAGACAGGAACGCGGCGTCATGGAATGCGGCGTCAATAGGCGGCGTCAGGGAGGTATGCGGCGTCAGACAGGAACGCGGCGTCAAGGAATGCGGCGTCAGTAGGCGGCGTCAGGGGGGTATGTGGCGCCAGACCGGAACGCGGCGTCAAGGAATGCGGCGTCAATAGCCGGCGTCAGGGGGGTATGCGCTGTCAGACCAGGAAGCGGCGTCAGGGAATGCGGCGTCGTTAGGCGGCGTCAGGCGGGGAGGCGGCGTCAGTGGGGAAAGGAGCATCAGGGAATGCGGCGCCAACACGGCGGCAATAAACGGAGGCAGCGTCAGGCGCAAAAGTGCCCCCACATGGGCGGCCGCCCTGCAAGTATGAGACGAGTGGGTGGATCCCGTTCCCAGGACTTTGTGGCACCCCCAGTTCTTGCTTTCAGTTCAACAACTCAGCTCCGCAAGTAGGCTGCAACTCTGCCAGCTACAAGAGGAGTTGGCCGCTGCGGGGATGCCTGGGTGTCGAACGAAGGAAAACCGTTTGTACCAATTTTGCTCCGTGCACAAATTGAAATAGCGATCAGAGAGGAGAGGGTGACAGAAAATGGCAAGAAACGCAACGGAACGCACGAAAAACCAGATGTTGAGATGGGACACCGAATAAAGACCTTTTCTTTGGGACCTCCCAGACCTTTTCTTTATTGCCTCACGTTGCCTTTGTTAAATTCAGTCTTGACTTTCTACCTGCACACTGCTGTGCGGAGCCAGGTAAGGAGGCTGGTTAAGGATTCAAATCACCACAACTATTTGCCTTCTTCAAAATTTTTGCCGGTGGCTAGATTCCCTGGCTAAAGTTGCAATGCAGTATCACGCCAGTGTCTTGCATGGGCAGATTGATGTCTATGATTCCTTGGCAATCAGAAGACATCTCAGCGGAGGTCTGGGGTCTTCTCGCAACCCAGCAAATTGGTTGCCCTGTTGGATCACCAGCACATCTCGCAGTTTGAGACTTTCCTTGGCTTTTGCAGAAGGAAACTGGCACTTGTTTACTAATAAACAAATAAACAAGAAGGGGGATATATTTCTGAAACCATATGAGCAAGGACGCTACTAGGGGCTCCTGGCCTTACTACTAGCTACTGGGAACAAAGGGCATCGCTACTAGGAGCAAGGACCAGGTCTTTTGGACTAAGGTGAAGTCTGTGGCTTCCCGCGAGCCACGACTCGACTTCTCCCCGGTCTTCGAGGCGCTCAAGGAGCTCGGGGCGACCCACCGAATCTGCGAACTTGTTTTTGTGAAAGACCGGAGTTTTGGGGTGTTTTTTTGGGTACGCCAATGAGGCTTGTGAGAAAAAACTCCTGGTTTCAGGCAAAGGAATTGCCAGAAACCCAATGATTCTTTTCTTTCTAGTCCTATTGAAGTGCGAAGACACTGGCTGCTTGGACTCTGCAGCTGAAACCTTGACACTTTGTGCCTGATACTCGGAAAAAAACACTTTCAGCCAGCTAGATATCCCAGTTGTACGGGGTGAAACTTACGCAGGAGATTCGTCAAGAACCTCTCTTTGAGCGCTTTGCTCAGGCTGGTGTGGATGAGTCAAGGAGTTGTCACCTGCTTCGAGATAAACACCAATCAGCGTTTGGTTCCTTACCACGCCTTCCTGTTACTAGTAGTAAGGCCAGGAGCCCCTAGTAGCGTCCTCGCTCCTAGTAGCGATGCCAGGAGCCCCTAGTAGCTTCTTGTTCCTAGCGGCCTTTAGAGGACGACTAAATCCATGTAGACCTCGAAATGCGCCATGCACCAGTCGTTCTCGTGTGGACACGACTTCGGGAAGTGGGAACCGCCTCCATGCAACAATTCCTTCATGCAACCAATCAATTCCCTGCAGAAGAGCCTTGCGCCTCATCACCAGGTTTTACACGAGTTGAAAGACTTGAAGAGCTCCATGCTGGAAGCTTGGAAAGATGCATCCTTGGAATCCGAGGAGATTTCATCAGCAAGCAGGTCTGGATTGGTGTGCGCTGTGAGGAACAAGCTAAGCAGCATCAGAGAGCCACCGTGCGATTGAAATCACCACTAATCATGGCCTAACAGAATTCAGGAAATCAGACGCATTTTGAGAATCCCGAGACGTCACAACCTCACCGGATCCTCACTGAACCCTCTACCATCAAGTGAGCCAAGTGAGCAGAATCCGCGTAGAGTCAGAGCCACTTTCCAAAGGCGTGAGTCTCCGCAACTGCAGGACTGATGTGGGAGCATGCAAGCTCTGTTCCCAACTGGAGACGTCTCACATATCCCGTGGCCACAAACCAAAGAAGGGAAGAGACGTGTTCGATGAATGCTCATGCATCCAAAACCAGACTTTGGACCTCAGCATGCTCCGCAACAGATTCAGGACTGGTGTGACCACTCTAGTCTTATGCCAAGGGCATGCAGAATGTTTTGAGCCCCCAACCATGAGCCCACCATTGCAAAGTGTGGCCTGTTTGACACCCCTAGCTGTACTTTGCGAGGAGCATGGCGAATTGGGGCAGGTGGTGCAGGATCTTCAACTGGTCTGGGACACAGGTCTCGACATTTGGATTGAGAGAAGCAGGTGAGGATGCAGCATATCTCAAATTATTGAGCTCTCTGGCTTGCATACAGTCCTTCGCGGAAGCTCCACCTGCTTAGAAAGCTAAGCTCTCAAGATGTCCTTTGGTCTCCAATCCTTGGGGCTTGGAAAAGGCTTCTTTTGAGGTTTCAACAAATCTCAACCTTTCCCACAACGAATCTCAACCTTTTCCACCAGGAGCAAGAAGCTACTAGTATACCCCAGTAGTGAATTGACCTGGCACCAAGTTTCTGGGCACAGAGACACGAGCCCCTAGTAGCGTCCTTGCTCCTAGTAGTAAGGCCAGGAGCCACCAATTCGCAGTGCTTTAAGGTGACCTCAAACTTGGTGGAGACCGTCCGGCAAGAGGTCATGAAGGCGTCCGCACTCCTTGAGTCCATGTTTCTGTGAAGCCGCGGGGTCGTTGGCCTCATCAAGATCTTGTCAAGTTGGAGTCAAGACTGCTAGATGGGCTTCCCAAGTTGATTGTTTGAAGAACTTTGGTAAGTTTCCTAAAATTTACGAACCAAATCATTAGTGCGAGATAGTGCGAGCGTGAGCTATCCTGCGTCCTAGCTAGGAGCGAACTACTCCCTTACTTAATTAAGTAGCCGTGCCTACTTAATTTAGTAAGGAGGCAGGGCCTCGGGCTAAAAACAGGATTGCTTGAAGAAATTTGAGAACTTCTCTCAGACGGATTACAACTAGTAACAAGAAGCTACTAATAGTAACAAGGGCATCGCTACTAGTAACAAGTGCATTACTATTAGTAAAGTAGCAAAGAGCTACCAAATTCCCCAACAGGTCGATTTGTCGCCGCTGATGAGCGAGATCCAAGCGATTCGGGGCAAGGCGCGCCGGTCTTTTTGTGCAGCTCCGGACATGGGGTGAACACATGGTGTGCTTTCCTTGTGAGTTAGTGAGCTTGATAGGTTCAGCACTAGCAGGTCGATTGAAATTGTACTGTTCTGTTTCCCCTGAAGATAGAATCCACTTACTTGACCCATTTTGAGTTGTTGGTCAGTGTGAGAGAATGTCGTCCAGGAATTCGCTCGAGTCATGAGAAAACTGAGCCATTCACATTTGTTTCTTCCTTTGTTGAAAACTCTGCCTCTTTGTCACTTTGACCATTGGCGCACCCCATCATCGAAGATGGACGCTGCAGTAGAGCGTAGTGGGCGCTGCAGTTGAGTTGGTTTCTCAGCGGATCGATGCGCAGGTAGAAGTGTCCAGTGCCTTAAAGCTGCTCGGCCGTTGTTTGCGTTGTTTGCCTGAGAGACCGGTGAGAGACGGATGAGCCCAGTTTCATGTCCCTGGGAAATGGGTAAGATTAAGGTTTTGACCCCTATCGCAAACCTAGCTTTTGGGTTTGAGAGGCTGCTTTTGGGTCGAGGAGTTTGGTTGTTTGAATTGTGAAACTGCACGGATCTCTTGTGTTTGCGAAAGCAGTCCCTGAACGGAGTTTTCAATCGCGCCGATTTGCTAATTAGGTTCAATGATATTCAATAGATCTCATGACTGTTTGAAATTGTTCTTGCATCGATCGAATGAGACGAATCATGAAAACACGTAGGACATGGTTTCGAGATTTGAGTGAGATAAAAATATATATATTGCGAGTATGAAAGATCTGTTGGCAAACCAAACCCGGGCAGACCAGATTCTCTGCAGACCCCCCCATTCGGCCCACATTGAGGCGTCAGAATGAGCACATGACCAAAAGCGACTTTGCGACGGCGTTGGAGGAGTGGCTGCATGAAGCATCTTGGTTGTTCTTAATTGGACACCGTCGATGACAATCTGAGATTGAAACACTCGAACCTTGAATCCCGCCAGGAATTGCGCGGCCACTTCTCCCTTCTGCTATCTTCTTTTCGGGAGGCGCAGCAGCCGGTTGACAGGGGCTCCAAGAATGGTTTGGCAGGGCACTAGGGCTTCCGCAAAGGCAAAGATGCTGCGACCGCACCTTTAGTCCTGAAAAAAACAATTGAACGTGCAATTGACTTCACAGCGTCCTTGGTCAGGTCTGTGACCACTCATCTGGCGTTTGGAGCTCGTCCAGTCTATGCAAGCAAAGCGTTTGGAGCGGTGCCATGCGATGAGATGGATGAGCTGAGTTAGTTCTTCAGGTCTCTGCCACGGCTGTCAACACCCTGCTGCCCCGTGCTGAGAGGTGAAAAAACATGATTTTTGACCGATTCCGAGAGAGGATTCTGGAGTGTTTTCGGTTTTTTTCGCTCGGTGCTTGCACTGTCAAGACGCTTCTGCTGTCCGAGGCAAAACCTGTTGGAGCAGAGGCAAAGAGAGAATGAATCAGCTGCGGAGGCGCGAGTTGGTTGAAGGGTCTGCATGAGGCGGAAACCGCACGAGCTGGGAACCCTTTGATGCGACGGCAGACGTCTGGTCTTTCAGGACGCATGTACCTTAAGCGATTTTGTAGATGTGATCAGAAACTGGATGACCCAGGAACTTGCATGTCTTGGTGACTCCACTTTATGCTTTCTAGCTGTATGTCCAAATGATGGAAACAAATTGTGTTTTACAAAGGCGGATCAAATGGTGCACGAGGCCACACATGGAATTTCACAGGTATGCTGTATGACCTGAAGCTAAGGACCTGGATTTCCTCCGACAAAAGCTGCGAGATACACAGAGCGTGATTGGCCAGGAAAGGATTTGCATGCTTGTGCAACTGAATTTGACACTTATGCAGTACGAACAGACATATGACAAATATACAGTACGAACAGACATATGACATATGTGTCAAGATGGGCAGGCACAGACAGTCAAAGAGTTGGAGTGCACAAATCATAGACTTTTCACCCTCATTCAAGTGGGGGGTGAAGGCTCAGATAAGGATCCCTTTTGTGCTTGCTTTGAGGTAAGTCTTGCGTTTCGTTTCTGGAATCCAAGGTCATGTGGATGTTTCTAAGACACAGGGGCTCTTAGCATCCATTTTGAGACCCTTTCAGCTATCAAGAGGGCCCGGAACTTTGTCGTTTTGCTCTTGTGGTTCATGCGGAAAGTGTGCATCGACCGGATTTGCAATGTTGCCAAGTCTGTTTCTTCCACTGATTGATGTCACAAGCCAGGCTGGCAGCCGTGTAGGCCCGGCGGAGCTCCGGGGGCGAGTGCCCACAAGCCCAAGGCGAGCGGTGTGCCCATTTGGGTCCTTGAATCTCTCCAGTCGCGTTTTTGAAAAGATCGGCTTGATCTCGTTGTGCACGGATGGCTTGAAAACTTGGAATTGCACTATTAGGTTACGGTTGGAGGCCGTCGCCAGTAGGTTGGAGGCCATTGCTATTGGAAACAAAGAAGAAAGACAAGGACCAAAAGTCTAATATAGCCATCGCTAGTAGGTTGAAGGCCATCCCTCTTAGGTTGGAGGCCATCGCTATTGGGTTAGAGGCTCATAGCTAGTAGAGGGTTGGAGGCCATTGCTCTTACGTTGGAGACCATCGCTCTTTGGTTGGAGTCCGTCGCGATTAGGACTGCTATTAGGTCTTCTTTTCCGACCGCGAAAATCCGACGTGAGATGACGTGAAGCGTCACGTGCGTTAGGCCACCAGAGCGTCCGACGCGTGAAATACAATCGCCAAGCCGGGCTGAGGCGTGGCCATGTTAGGTGGGCTTGCCTCAGAATGTAGGGTACTGAAGCCAAGCATTGGAAGGTAGTTTCTCCGGCCTCTTCTAAAACAAAAACCCACATGATTATAGCAAACCCTCACCACTATGCCGCTGTGCCAATGTGCTTTTCAGTGACAAGAGAAAATATGTTGCTTCAACGGGCACCGCCTGTGGCCCATTTTTGGTGGGTTTGGAGGATGGTAGCCGTTTTTCTTTCATCCTTGAAAGGTTTCAAGTTGTTTCAGTTGAGTGGAACAGTCTGGAGCAGGTACAGTTGCAAGTCTGAGCGCACCCGTATTTGCTTTAAGGATTGTGAATGACTTGGGAGATACCTCAGATGTGCGTGACAGAAACCTCCCAAACGTGTGGGCTTCCCAGAGGTTTTCAGAGGTCCATACCATTTGGCAAGCAGAGCCAACATGGTGACATGGCTCGAACATGGCTATCCTATGCCAATTTTCTCATTTGGAGTAGGACACATCACAAAAAATTGTAGATTCTATAGTGATCCCCAGATGGATAGTGGCACGGTTTCCAATACATTTTTGTGGGGATCTACTTTTAATGTAGATTTCCTCACCCAGATGGTGGCGTCATCGTGAACGCAGGCGGCGGCCTCTATGGCAGAGCCCGTCACACGGATAGAACCCGTCACGGAGCCCGTGGCGTCGCTGGGCGAAGACATTCATTAGCGTCCGATCGCTCCTAGTAGCGGGTAGCGATGCCCTTGTTACTGGTAGCTTCTTGCTCCTAGTAGTACGGCCAGGAGCCCCTAGTAGCGTCCTTGCTCCTAGTAGCGAGGCCAAAACCTGATTGGTACCTATATTATACCTCACATATGTCAAGTGTTGTCCTGCTTCACCAAAAAAACGTGGCTTCTTTGTGGTAGACATGTTGGGGATGGGAATGCCATGCCCATGCTGCCCACTGAACGTTCGCATGGCTGCTAAGACGCTGCTAGGATATGATGATCATTTCTCAGACGGGATCACTATCTTGTTGCAATGTGTCAGTTCCTGGACACCCTACATTTGCAGTATCCAAGTTCCTGACAGGATCAATTTACAGTAGATCAAAAAGGAAGCCACACTTGACGATGTAGCAAATCGCAATGCTTTCAGCTTTTTTTGGGAACTATGCAGTGTAAAACAAACCCAGACTTTGATCACATGTTTCGTGTTACTGCCTGTGTTCTGACCTTTTTAAAATAGGGGACAGAACTTGCAAACATCTCCACTGGTCTAGTGAAACAAAATGACCATCCGAAAATGGACATCCATTTGATATCCCGACATCGTCCCGACACGTCTTGCCGACACGTCGTCCTGATACGTCGTCCTGACATCATCACTTGGCCCTGTTTGTGCTCAGTGAAGCGAACCACATCGTGAGTTAAGTTTCTACAAGTCTAGAATCTAGGTACTACCGTATGTAGGAACCAAATCTCTTTTGCCCGCCTTTGCTGTCAGCTTCTAATAACTGGACGCAGGATAGCTCACGCTTCTTCAAGGAAGCTCCCCGCGCTTCCTTGAAGGCGTGAGCTATCCTGCGTCCAGTTGCTAGAAGCTAACTAGTTGCATTGAGCTTACTCCCTCCCTTGCTTAATTAAGTAGGCACCGTTTTGGCACCTGAGTTAAGTTTCTCAAAAAATCTAGGAACCAAATCATAGAAGCGAGCTATCCTGCGTCCAAGGTAGTAGCTTACTACTAGGGGCTCCTGGCCGTACTACTAGAAGCAATGTTCGCTATTAGGAACATTTTTCGTTTCGATGTTCGCCTCCAAGGCATCTCTCATCACTTCGCCGGCCCTGAAAGCCTTGGGCCGGCCGTTTCGAGGATCCAGTGGTCGATGGTGAGGGCTTCTCTGGGAAAGACATGGAAAAGACTCACTTCAGGTCCAAAGACTTAAGCTTTGACGTTCGGCCGGTGACATCGAAGGAACATATGCTCACCTCTCAAGTCTCTGAAGCTTTACCTTTGTAAGGCATGAACAGCAACATCCCCGCGTCTGCAACACTGGAGCGTCTTTGCACTGCAACTCGCTGAAACTAAGCGGAGAACAAGAAAAGTGCAGCAGGCCGTAATTGGACGATCCTTAGACAGGGCTTGCGGTTCATATTTTGGTTGGTCACAGGCGAAGATTGATTGTTCTTCTGCTGGCTTTATCTCCTGTGAAAGACTCAATGAAAACCATTCCTTACATACTTGGTGAGTCCTTGAGTGACGATGTCTTGGCCAGACCAACATTTACAGCCAAAACACACATTCGTGTACACGCCCCTACACATATCACATGTTGTCTGATGGGTTGCAAGCTGAGTCATTCAATGTTTGTTCGCAGACACACACACAAAGACCGGAAGGTTCACCGAGTGGACTTTTCGGATATTGCAAATTCCTGAGCTTGTCAAGTTCAGAACGGGTGGGGCACAAGCAAGTGTTTTTGATTTGTGACGGATCCCAATGAATGCTCGGATCCATAGTGCGTCTTTATCATGGTGTTTGCTAAATTTGCGGAAGGTGCTGCCAGCGTTTGGGCATTTGGCTTAGTTGCTCAGTAGCTTCAGTAGGTTCTTGCAATATGTACCTGATGGTTCAGGCAAGAGGGTGTCGAACTGGTCGAACCTTAGCCCTGGCTTTGGACGTAATGTTGACTGTCCAATTGCAACGCTGTTTATTCTGCTTTTGGTTCAATGAGTTCACGTACAGCATGTTTTGTACACATAGCTGGCATGCCAGGTCTCCGAGTAAGACACCAGTGAACTGTGGCATTAGAATGCATTAGACATTGTCGTGTAGGAAGTGTAAGTGAGGTCCATGGCCCAGCCACAAATTCGACACAACAAATTGAACCGGCGTGCATTTTGCAAGACTGAACCAGTGGTAGTGGCTCAATCTCATCCCCTCAATTTAGAAGGAAGCACTCAAGTGCAGCGTGGGGCGCCTTGGCATGGCGAAGCCACATCAGCAGTACATGGGTGCCCAATTGATGGACAGGGACAGTGATGAGGAAAGTTTAGAGGAGATGGATATTGAAGCGAATCTGTGTTGCCCGGATGCACTAAGCGCCATTCTCTCCACTGTCTTCTTTCCCAGCTGGCTGTGTTCCCTACAGATGATCAAACAGAATGAAAGAGCCGCGGCACTGGTCTGGGGTAAATATGTTGGAAGCATCAATGAGCCCGGGATTCACATTGTGAATCCATGTGGCGTGGTGATTCGGAGGGTCACCACGGTGCGCAAGACCTTGGACGTCCGGGAGGTGAGTGTCACCGACAAGGATGGAAATCCCATCTACATCAGTGGCAACATCGCTTACAAGATCACTTCGGCCAAAAAGGCCACTGTAGATACAGAGCAGCCAGACAAGTACACACTTGAGATGGCTCCGATGGTGCTTCGAACAGTGGCTTCACGTTTCCACTACGATGAGCTGCGTAGTGGTGCTCCAAGTCAGATGCTTGGAGATGAGCTGCAGAAGTTGGTCCTCAGCGCTGGTGTGCAGGTGCTGAGGTTTCAGCTCACAGATCTCAAGTATGACTCGCAGATTGCATCAGCCATGCTTGCACGACAGCAGGCTGTGGCACAGGTCGATGCAAAGCGTGCGCTGGTGCATGGTGCGGCTGAAACGGCATCGAGCACTGTGGCGCGGCTGAAGCAGCTGGGCCACACCTTCACAGCAGAGAATGAGCAAAGACTCATCCATGATTTGCTGCTGAAAAACCTCGACCCAGACTACAAAGCGCGTGCCACAATCATGTCACAGCAGCCATGAGGCACCACTGTGGCCATTTGTGTGGGCAAGGGCCGCTCAATAATTGGCATGCAAGTTCGCAAATGCATTCGATTTGGATTGCGAGTGGAAAATGTGACTTATCTCGCTGTATTGCACTGTATGCCAGAAGTGTTGTGTGACCAGATGACTCTCGGCACAGCTTCCATGTACTTGTAGAAATCCAATCAGATGTCAGCACTTGAGAGGTGTACAAAGAGGTACACGAACATCTCTACAGACTCCAGTCACTGTTCTCCTCAAGCCCAATTCACCAGTTCTGTCGATTGTTGTGCTTTTGATGACAACATCGTGACACACCCTTGCTACGGATTTGCCTGGTTTGCCCAAAGCGAGGCGCACATGCAAGGCCTCGTCAGGATCTCAGCGCAAAATGCACCTCAGGGCCTCAGGGCCCGGTGTACTTCTCTATATAACCGTTTTTACTGCTGGCAACATGTATGCTGTCGACGCTCTACCAGTTTTGCCACGATGAACTGTAAGCAGTGATTCACATTTGTTGCCATAGATTTTCCTGCTTGACATTGTGCGGCACAAAGCAAGTTCTTCGATGCTGAAGTATGCATTAGTGTCCATCAGTTCTCAGTACAGAATGGCAGAAGTCAGCACAAATGCTAGAACACCCACACCCACACATACACACACCATTTTTATGTCAGGTGCGGCATGTTTATGAGTCAAAAAATGATTGGAGTGGACCTCCCCTTGTGAAGCTTGTTGGTCTCGTTTTCTCAAGACTTGGACAGAATTTCTCCACATTGCACTTCAAGAAACTGCTAATCAACGGACAAAACCTTCGAATACTCAACCGGGGGAACAATGTAGGCTCACTCATCACAACATGCTGTTGCAGAGCAACTAAACGGTACAAACAGGGGGTCACATAGGCAACTAAACGCCAGCAATGATCTTCGCTGCGGGAGTTGTCTTCCCACAAAGTGACCTGCTATTTGGGAAGTTTGAACACGGTGGCCTAAATCTGTAGGGACCATCAACCAAGGTCAAACCGAAGGAGGTGAAGGTGATGCTGATGGACCTGTGCAGAGTAGAAAATTTGGGAAAGACCGATGTCGCCTGTTCCTTTGTTCTCTCCCGCATCATTTCAGATACCTGGAACCTCCTGAATTGATTATATATTTACTGTATATACATTACATATACTTGCAAAAGGTGTGTAGTGATGTACACTGCTGCATTTTCAAGTTGGTGCCACCCTTTGCTTCACCGTTTGCTTCTGGGCCTGAACAAGAAGTGTGGAAGCATGCTTCCACTCAACTTTCAAGACAATCATATCAGGTTCGATGATGGCATGCTCGTGCCACCACTTTCAGTGAACTCTTAACTGTTAACAACTGTTTGCGTTTTGCGCAGCCACGTTTATACCTCAGTGCTAAACCCTGGATGGTACAGACCTTGTAAAGAGCATCAGACTTGGAGTGGGGTTGAGAACTAAACCGAGGGACATCAAAGAGAGACTGTTTCAAGTGCATTTCCATGAACAGAGACAACAAGAAACATGGGGAGGTTGGCTTCATGAGAACCATTGGGTATGAAACTGACCAAGCCTCATCTGCCCATTCGACATCCAACCTAACTCAGCCTTCCCTCCGGCTTGCAATGGTGGAATGTTGGAGAATGCCTCCAACATGCCCAATTGTTTGCAAATCAAACTTGACTGGGCTACGTCATAGCCAGACATGAAACACATCGTTTCGTCGAGAATTCGGGGCGAACCCTCAGACCTTGCCCGCCATGGATCCAACGAAAGATCTTGCTTGGAGAGAAGCCTTGGAGTTTCCCGAAGATTGGGATGTCGACTTCGGGGAGGACCAACAGGATGAGGAGGCAGGGGGGGCGATGTCCAACTTGAAACACCCCAAAAGCACCGGGACACGCCAGTGTCGGTGTCAGGATGAGCTGGATGACGGATTCATGGAAGAGGACGAGCTTGGCGAGAAGGTGAGGAAACAGAGCTTAGGAGTCAGGTGGGCCAACTTGAATGGATTCAGGCCTGCTAGTTTCATCCAGTTTCGATCCAAAGACGGTGAAGTACACAGGTCTGGGACAAAAGTCAGCACCGCACTGACAGACATGAAAACATGAGCTTCTTGTTACTAATAGCTTCTTGTTCCTAGTAGTAAGGCACTTGTTACTAGAAGCGATGCACTTGTTCCTAGTAGCTTCTTGTTACTACTAGTAAGGCACCTGTTACTACTAGCGAAGCAGTTGTTACTAGTAGAAACTTTTTCTGTTACGGTGACCTACAACCATGCTTTTGTTGTTGCTACAAATGCTGCTGTCACTGCCCTAGCAGCTATGTGTGGAAGCTGAGAGTCCTTTGATGCTGCTGGTCAGCGCCGGATGCCATCGACTCCCGCCAGGGCATGGATGAAGAGTTCGAGGAAGTTGACGATGAACTTGAGGCCACAGCTCAGCAATCTCATGGCTGAAGTTGAAGCCAAATGGAAGAGAGCTTTCTTGGTCAGCTTTCGCGGCTTGTTAGATTCTCCCTGCTGCTCTGTCTCTTTGTTTTCATGAAAGATCATCCGTGAGTTTGCTAAAAGCACCGCACTCTTTATGTGTGCAACTCTGGAGGCTGGTGCAGAGGATGACTTGGAATCCAATGAGGAATCTCCGGGCAATGTTTCTTGCCGCAAACCGGGCTCAAAATAAAAGCGAAGGATCCTTTGCATCCCACCCAGTCTTCGGTGATCGGCAAATTCCAGAAATGTCTACCTCGTAAACTAAACCCAAGACGGTGGACTGTACAACACTGACAGTTCGTGTTAGGATGCATGGAGCGATGTTTGATTTTGTCAAGCAAACGAGCCCTAAGGTGAGGTTTTCTTCTGACGTTCATGGCTACCAGGTCCCTGGAGAGCAACCGCCCGAGTTCCACTCACCTGCCTGGGAGCGGCCACACAGACTTCCAGAGGCCATGTTTCTCACAGGCTTGCTGGTGAAGCAAGATTCATGGTTCGAGATCTACCTTCGCTGTAAACAAACAGCTTCGAATCACCCAGTTGAATGCGTTGAATGCGTTGGGAAGAAACATATTTCACCATTTCACCAATTCAGCGCGACGGCTCCGAGTGCGGGTGCGTCCAGGGGCATGTCTCGGGGCGCCAGCGGACAGGCGGGAGCGTGCGAAAGATCGATGCGTAGGTCCTCGGTGGCTAAGCGGCAGTCGAACCAGAGCCATGAATGGGAGCCTATTTTCTATAAAACTTTGTTGGGTGGTCATCAAAAGGGGTCACAGCGAACAGAAGAAATGCAATCAAAACCCTTATATAGAACAAAGACCGGTGATCAAGGGACCTTTCCGGGCTAAAACCAGCAGAGTGGTATCAGGGTAGCTGGAGCATTCACCTAAAAGCAGGATGGTCATCCATGCGGAATCTACAAAGACCACCAACGGCAGGCAAGTTGCGGGAATCTTGCTTTGTGATCTTTGTGCCTATTTCAATCGGATGCA